GTTCTAGGAAACAAGAAAAATAGTTTTCTTTTTGTTTATTTTCCTCATGACAAACAGATTAGGACATGAGCGCTCCTTCCCAGTATAGCCCCAAATCAAGGCTAGAATTTAATCACTTTATCTACTGATATGCAAGATTTCCCTGCCAGCATCTTCCAAGTGCTAGAAGGCTCCTGACAGTTATTTTAGGTTATTCACACAATGCCAGCAGCAGCTTTCTCAGGTACTTGAAAGAGCTGATTTACAGTGATTATCCTAATAACAAATGTCACCCTAACCCTTCCTGTTCACAAAGAGGCTGTTCATCTCTAATTAGCAGTTGATCTACTTAATCAGAAAGTCTGGATTAGTCCATACTGTTTCTCTTTATTAATAAGGAAGATGTGTTAGCAAAGGGACCTTCTTTCTTCTCTGGTGGTTAAATCGCATGAGAAGAAATACTTTACAATGGAGGTATTTGTCTGCCCGCTCGTCTTGCTTGGAGGCTTCATGGCTCGAATAAGCTGAGCAGTCGTGCTCAGCCAAGGAACTGCAGACACCAAACTTACAACATATGATGTGCACCAAGACACACACGTGAGATGAGAAGGAAGTGCCTTAACATTCACTCCTTCTGTACTCTTTTATCTCCTGTATAAAAACCAGTATGAGCCCTGCAGTATTAGCCAGCAGATTCCAAAAACACTGTGTTATGTTATGCGTTTTGAAGAATGGCAAGGAGAAATAAGAGACTGGGAATATTACCCAACCCTGATTAACGGCCTCAACAACAGGATCAAGGATAAATAAGGGAAGCTGACTCGTGAAATGCCTGAAGCTATTGCCGCCTTCTCGATTTAAGAAAATGTGTTTTTTTTCTGGTTTTCATTTGAGAAAACAGAATTTCCTAGCTCATTTAAAAAACCACAGCTGTCACACCTTCCTGGCAGAAATCCTACAGCTCCTACCACCATATGAGATTGACTCCACAGCCAAAGCTCTCGCACTTTCAAGCAAATAACAGTTGCCTTGAACTGGAGAAATGCGTCTGGTGAGTTGAGGTCAACGTGCCATATGTCTCAAATAACCACTTACATTCTGACATACCAGGGACAAGATTACTGCAAGAGCAGCTGGCTAGTTAAACTTCTAGACTGAGATATCCTAAAGGAACCAGAGTTCTAAGTACCCATCACCCATTTGAGGTGGGGGAGCAGAAGAAGGAAGAAATCTCCTTGTTCCTGCCACTGATTAACTAAAAGAAGGTTCTGAAAATGAGTCACCTTTTTAGTTTATTTATAGTATGCTTAAAGCTAAAAATATGGCAGCAGCTCTAAGGAATTAAAGAAGGAAGGAATTCCTCAAGGAATGCTAGCTTTAAGGAATGGGAAGAGTGAAAGTGAGAAAACTCACGGATTGAGGTAAAGACAATTTAATATTTTGATTTGACAATTTTGATAAAGCAAAAGCAACGTAAGGAATTCCTAGCTTTAAGGAATGGGAAGAGTGAAAGTGAGAAAACTCATGGATTGAGGTAAAGACAGTTTAAGAGATAAAGCAAAAGGAACGTAAGGCATTCCTTCACTACTTCCCATGGGCAGGCAGGTGTTTAGCCATCTCCAGGAAAGCAGGGCTCCATCATGCTAACAGTGACTTGGGAAGACAAATGTCAACTGCAAATCTTCCCCCTTCCTCCTTCTTTAGTCCTGCTCTTATTGCAGAGTACGATGCCATACGGTATGGAATATCCCCCTAGTCAGCTGAAAACCAAAAACTGAAGATTAACTAAAGCAGGCTTACAATTTCAGGTCTGCATGAATAAAGAGCTAATTAGGTAGAATTACACATCCCTTTTAAATGACTGCAACCAAGCCTTTGCTCCTTTCTCAAACATTCATGCCATTGCTCAAGAAGGCTTAGAGAAGACTTTCAAACAAATAAAAGGAAAGAAAAAAACCCCACAGCAACCAAAAACAAACAAAAAACCCCTCCACAAACATTTGAAACATGAAATTTCAGTCAGTCACTCTGGGAAGTTATGAGGTACTAAGAGTTACTACCAACCAGGCCACCTGCCACAGGCCCACCCGCCACAGGCCCTTCAGACCGGAGCCCTCCGGCTTTGATGGGCATTCCAAACTGTGAATTCATCACCACCTTCTACACTGGCAAGACTGGGTTCAGACACCTACCTAAACTTGTGTATTTGGGCACATCCACCAAGACAGCAGCGGTCCAACACGGTTCTTTAGTAATTCCAAAGCTCACAGCCTGAACGCTCACTTTCCTGAGAGTACACAGTCAGCTGCAGCTGACTTACTTTCCCAACTTATGACCCCCCTGCTTGTTCATACGGGAACTTAAAGCAACTCCAAAAGCATTTTCACAGCCAACAGAGGAAAACAGACTTAATATAACACATCTGAAGAGAAGCAACACAAAACATCTACCTGCACAGAACAAATACATATTCCTAAAGAGGAACTTACACTTGATGCCAGTTGCAGTCTATCCATATATTTAATATCCGTTATTACGGATGGATATCTACCGTGGAGCTAGGTTTTTTTATTTATTCAGAGCAACCCAACCAGGGAGAAGGCAAGAACGAATCAACACTGAAAGCCAAAGCTACAGAATAATGAACTATTCTTATAACACAGACACAATACTTACGGCTTCAGCATATCAACAGTGGTCTGTTTAGAAAAAGTGTAAAAATCCAGAGTTTCGGAGTTTCAGTGTATACATACATAACCCACAGCAAAGCAAACAGCAGCACAGCCCATCCCTGAATTCATATTTTCTGAATTACCTAGGCCCGTCACTATTCAGCACTCCCTGTAAAGAGCCACAGAGCTCTTGTACCTGAACATCACCAACATCTGAGAGCTGAATATCCAGCATCCAAGAGGGCTGAAGTCACCTAAGAGCCTCAGGACTTTTCTGCACAAGAATACTTTCTGACAGAGATGTACAGTGACACCACGTAGTTATATTTGCACCAGTAAACTCCCCGTGTGTACACAGATTTTGTGAACAGAATGCTTCTTCCTCCTGCAGACAAATCCCCAGTAGGATTTGTATAATTCACTTAAAAGCCTAACGCCAAAGAAGCTGAAATGGCCGAGTAACTTCAGGCTTTTGCCCAAGCCAACAGGGAATAAAACGGAGAGGTGGTCAACACCGCTGAACCTGTAGTTCCTGATACACCTTTACTACAAAGGACACGTGCAGAGAACAATAAGCTGGTTCTTTGTAAGGAGGTAATTAACAGGCAGGCAAAGAGAAGCACATGGATGTTGGCATAAAGTAGACAGGACAGCAAAAGATGTGGAGCTTGGGATAGAAATAATTCATAAAACTGAACCAACAGGCCACATTCTTATGCAAAAGCAGATTTCCTGTTCCCATTCCACCCTTTTGCCTGACTTTGACAGAACACCCTTTGACAGACTGTCTGGCCTGACGATGGAAAGGTGAAAGCACAGTGTAGAGTCACTCCTGCTTGTGCTACCCACCGAAACACCAAAGGCAGGCTGACCTTCGTGCCCACTGCCAGAAACACGAGGTCAATGTGAACGCCTAAAAACGCTGACCTGAGCATTCAGCAATGGTTTTTTGAAGCTGTGAAAGGGAAACTTTCCAAAGCTGGAAGGAGGAAAGCGAAAGGTTGTTCAGCAGCTGGGAGAACTACCTTACGAGCCTTTCCATTGCCGCAGGATGCACTAAAAAAGCTGGCCTTTAAACCCTGGAGGTTCAGGGTTCAAACTCTGCTTCACGTTCACAATGAAAGGAATCTATTATGCTTGCTTCGGTACTCAGAGGAATCAAGCCACACCAGAAAATGACTATACCCTTCGACGAGACTCGTCGAAAATGCACCAGAGTCAGGCAAGCAGAGTGTCTTTTAGTCTGTCAGCAGAACATTCTCCAAAACTTTGCCTTCTCGTGTCCCACTGCCGTATCAGTGTTAATTGCTTGCTTTCCTGAGATGCATTTTTAAAAGAGGCTTCCTGAGCAATGGTAAAACCAAGCTTTCAAGGTTTGACTCATTCGACTCACGGATATGAAATATGCATCCAGTTACACTTTTCAATTAAAGATTGTACTTTAATAGCTAATTATTGTCTAATCAGCTCTCTACCGGTAACCCACAAACAAGCCTCTCCTCCTACTTCTCAGTGACATGGAACATACATCTAGAACATTTTCTCTAGTTCAATTACCTCAAGCAGCAAAGTTCATAAGCCTCTTCGCACAAAGCCTTGCCACAGTTTTTAAAATTATATAGAATGTCCAAAAAACCCCACAAACTAGGCCCAGGAAGAAAAAATTCCCAGTGTAATCTTCTCATAAATCCTTCCCACAGAGCAGCCCAAAGGGAAACAGGGGAACGATTAATCTTCAAAACCGTTAGTTTAAATCTTAATTTCGGATTTTCTGTACAGATTATTTCATTATAAAACCAACTGAAGCAGGGGCAACTCACCGGGTTATCCCTACAACAGTACATGGGTACGTGGATATGCACATTCCTGGCACATCCGTGAGCAGAACATGTCTCAAGCATACTGCTGTCTTTGAGATGCAACTCTAAGGCAGCAACTTGGCCACCAGTAAGGCATCACTGACCACTACTGGACAATGAATGGGAGGGAGCAGAAGTCTGCCCATGGTCCACTGTCTAAATGGAAAGATGTCCTACAATAGCTTACTTCTCATAAAATTCTTCTGCAATGGGCTCCACATCCTGTTTCATTCCTACAGAGAACTGGCTAGACAAAATACAACCAAAAGACACAAAACGCAGTCAAAATTCTCTGATTTCTGATGCAAGGGAATACTTTAGGTCATAAAAATCACCACCTTGGGCAACTTGGCAGGAGACTTGGGTGCAGAATTTCTGCCATCTTCATCAGGACAAGAGCGACGTTTCAGTGTGTCAGGCAGTTCCTCTCAACCAAGCGGCAAACCCAAACCAAGACAACAGTGTCACTGTAGAAAAGCCAAGCTCCTACCTGTTTTGCACGTCCTGCCATCGTCTTCTAGCTGCACACCAGTGGGACAGGCACAGCTGTAGAAGGGGTCTCTAGGAGACAGCAGGCACAGATGGGAGCAACCACCGTTGTTTTCTTCACATGGAGTGTGAACTTCAAGAAACCAAACAGATTTATTTTCATTTTTCCAGAACCCTTAGAGCACTCTTTTCTCCACGCGGAAGAAATTACAGATCCTAAATGACTGGCACAAGCTTTAGTGCTAAAAGACAAATCACAGAATAAAATGATTGATTCCCCCCTCCCAGCATTTTCCTTCTATGGGCACCTAAACTGAGACACCTGCAAAAGCTGATTTTGAAAGAGCTGACAGCTCAGCACATCCTCACTGTACAGTTTCTCCGATGTTTCCAAAGCTGAGCACAGCTAAGAGCTTTGGACACCAGGTACTTTGTGGATGCTGGGTCTTCTAAGCATCATAAAAAATGGAAAAGAGGGCTTGGAGGGGGGAGGGGGGGCAGCCAATTCTGTGCAAGAAGAGAAAAAATAACAAATTATACGAATCTTACATTACGGTGGTGTTGAATGTTGGAAATACCCTTTCCTACTGCAATGCTTTCGCAGCAAGACACATTCCTGAATCACCAGGAAATCCAGAGGAGCAACACGTAACTTCAGCAATTTTGAAAACATAAAAAAACCCCACCAAAACAAAAAAAACCCCTCCCAAAACAACTGTGGGGATTGTGGTCGGGGAGGGGTCCGGGGAGGGAATATAACAGACAGACATACAGCAACTGCCTGCACCCCTCTCACTGATATGGGAAAAAACACCAGCAAGAGGTGAAACAGTAACCATAAATAATTATGGAGAATATTGCCAGCTTTTAAAAAAAAAAAAAGTAATTCAAGTTGTGAAATATCTGTCCAAAATCAATCACAGTTTGAATAAGCATCTGAACTGCTTTAACACAAAACCACAAAATTTCCAGCTAATTTGGCTTGTCTTACTTCCACTGACAGCCACAAAGAGCAAAAAAAGGGAAAGGAAGGAATCCAAGCCTGATCCTAACGAAGTCAACGGCGTATGAGCTATTTTCAGCATATGCTATTTCCCTGTACACCACATTTTCTTTGTGACTGACCCAGAAATCCTATGGCCCAAGGCTGGGAGATTCCTTGAGCTAAAAGCAACGACAACAATTCAGCCTAGTCAAACTCTTATCTGGAGCTGTGAGATAAGGCAGGGCGCTGTGCACACCCAACAACCTCAATGAAAACTTGCGTGTGTCCCATCACCATGACGATCTCCAAACAACTCCTGCTTGCTTTCAAGCCTTTTACTGACATCCTATAAACTTTACTGGGATAACTAATGCTATCTTTAGGTTTCCCATAGCTACTTAGTTATATACGTTTGCACGCCATTGCTTTTAATTCCCGTTCTCACAATCCTTAAAAAACCTACACCAAGCGGCACATGGAATCACACGCATATACAAAACACACAGTTCTCAGTTCTCTGCACCTGCCTTCCTTCATCACACATGAAGAAAAAATATAGAGACACATATATGTTTCATATAAAAGCTCAGAACTAAATCCCTTCCACACTGCAACTTTCACAAACTGTGCATTACACGTTGAAGGTAAACACGATCAAGTCTGGGCTGCAAAAACCACACCTGTAAGTACGACATGAAGATTACGTGTTTTGTGATAATTCCACTGACTTTTTAAAAAAGTAATGATCAGCATTTTTTCAGTTGTCTTTAAAATAACGCTATTAAAAAGATGCCGCTTTAGTCTTTGTCGTTCTTATTCAGATATTCCACATCAAAAGATGTCACTGAAGTACTGCACAGGATTTTGGATTTTGTTACCAACTGGGATGATGAGTGAGCTCATACTAATTCAGGCTGGAATTCTCAAAGAAAGGTGCAGGATTCGGGAACTTACACCTTTAGCAACCAATCCCCTGGTAAGTGTTGAAAACCTTACAGCTCCAGACTAACCATTTCTATGATTAAAGTTTTTCCTGAGAGATATGTAAGAGTCATACAAAAATTTTCATGAAAAGTAAAACATACAGTATGGCTGCCTGTCTGGACTTAAGACCTGGATGTCCATCGGCGAATACAGGGCAGACAATATTTCCCTCCTTTTCTCTCCCGTCCTTTTGTTACAGGCATGAATGGAGCGCGTTTGCCAGTCCGTCCAATACAAAGTGTCCCCAGACAACGTCAGCGCAAAGGGATGAGTGAGACTACCTTCAACAACTTTTTGCCTAGATGAAAGAAAGAGCAAGGATTAAAAATGCACTGCTTCCACTTGTTACCATGCAGAAAAGAATCTGGCTTTGTAAAAACTCATATAGGAATCATCTTCTTTTAACAAATTCACTCGACCAAGCGACTCATCTGGTGAGATAAAAGGGATAATCAGACTGAAAAATGTAAACCAAGACTTTGTCCCTTCAGAGCAATACGGACACAAACACACACAATTGTCTTTTGGAGGAAACACAGGTCCGATGAGTGCTCCTCCCATTAAAGCACAAAGTTTTTTGTCCCCTGTGCAATATATGACATCTTTGCCCAGGACTTCAGTTGCACCCGCTCCTTGCTTGTAGCAGGGACAGGAAGACACAACCTGAGTCTCTGTAAATTACCCCTCTTAACTTGGTCAGAAGCAGAAACAAATATTGGTCAGATTATCTTTTTAGACGTCAGGCAAGGGTAAGTTACATTTTTTTCTAAGACTAAATATTTATAATTAATATAAATAACAAACATTTCAGATGTTTTTCAATGAGCTTGTTCAGCCACACCTCTACTGTTGGTGCACATAGTTTCTCACTGGTTATCAGCTGAACCCCAAGCCACAAAACACGTGACTTTTCCAACATGTTTTCTAAGACGGGAACCCCAAATTTACATACATTTCAATAAATTTGTATAATTTAGATACAATAGGTTTGGATATATTTACTAAGTCAGTGAAAACATACTTGACAATACCTTAGTCAAAATAATATTAACTCAGTTTTCACAAAATTCATGTGTTTTACGAATGCACAAATACACCTCCCAAACCACCACTGTGACACAGCAAACCAGAACTCAAAATTTTTCATCACGCAACTTTGAGAAAGATGAATATTCAGCATCATCCTGAAGGAAAAGTGAGAAACATTTTTTTCTTATACTTATATTCAGAACTGCATTTGAATTGTTTCCACTGAAGAGATTAAAGAAAACAAAAAAAAACCCCAGCTTGGGAAAGGATTAGGTACCGCTTGCATTTTCCAGGGGTGGGGGGTATAAAAAGTACCCTGAAAATTCTTCGTATGTATCAGACACGGACAAGTTTAAAACAGACTGACATATGCAAAGATGCATAGCTATTTGCATATATATGTACAAGGCAAGAAATGCAGAAAAAAAGAGAACAAAAATATTATTCTTTTTTCTGTTCTAGAGATAAAATTGCAACTGCTCTAAAATTTCTGTCCTTCAAATTATCAGTACTTCTCACACCATAAAACACAATAGAAGAAATAGAAATGCTGATTTCACTTTCACTTTCCATTCTTACCTTTGCTGTTGCTTCTTTACTAGTAACAGCAGTGGCCGTATTCTAGTATTGTAGCAGCTGGTTTCCACTATACACTGCCCCTATTTCCACCACCCTTAGGTATCAAGCCTCCCTCTCTCCTGTAATTACAGCACTTTTTGCAAAGCTATAACAATTGCATTCCATTACTGGCATTATTCTACATGACTGAAAAAAATGCCTCTGTTCAAAATGAATGCAGGACGTAAGAAATAACTCACACCGTGTTACTGACTAAAGGTAACTTACCTAAAGGAACCATCCAGATTTGCCCTATGAATGAAACTCAGTTTTGCATCAGCCCAGTAAAGTTTCTGCTCATCAAGATCTATCGTGAGTCCATTTGGCCAATAAATATCTGAATCGACAATGATTTTTCGTGTGCTGCTGTCCATTCCTGCCCGTTCTATTCTGGGTGTTTCACCCCAGTCGGTCCAATACATGTATCTGAAGAAGCAAGCAGATATGTACACAAATTAAATCACAGCGCGTGCTGGTTAGCTTTAGGAACAAAGGGGTAGCAGCTCTTTGCAAAATCCGTGAGCATACGTACATTGAGTGGTATATATACACAAATGTGTATCTCCAAAACCTTAACATACTTGTTAACATACACCAAACCACGGTCCCAGAGTCCTTCACGAGAGCATCTCTCACAAGCACTGCCTCTGCATAATGTATTACCGTTCTCTTTCAACGCTGGGCAGCACCTGACTGTCATAAGCATTTACAACTGAGTATCATCCTTGTGCGGCCAGTTACTACAAGATAATATCCTAAAGCACATTCTGAAGCAACTAATTACCCATCCAAGCAGGCAATGACCATAGCTGAACTTCCTTTTCCAAGTCTGTACACAAAGAAAAGAATAAAATCAAGTGCTCTGAAATTTGTTTCTGTCAATAAATAAATCACAAACCCGAGCAGACTTCGGATGAGATTAGAGTGAATTTCTGGAGGGGGGGGAGGGGGTTCCCCTATCATCCATGTCCCAGTGTCTGTGTCACTCCACCTATGGGCAATTTAAGTAGCTTGACTAGAGACATTAACAGCACTCATCAGTAGAAAAGGACCAGATGAAGATGTGGCAAATCACATAACGTCTGCACGAAAAGCTGAGACTGTACTGTCAGGAGAGAAACTGTCTGATGAGGTCAGTCAGTTCCCAGCTGGTAAATACTACCCAGAGTAATATATCCAGGTTGCAAATTCCAAATGCCAGGGGTGCAAACACAACACAGCTGTGCTGGCTTTCACTGGGACAGTTGGTTTTCTTCACAGTAGCTAGCATGAGGCTGCTCTGGATTTGTGCTGAGAAGAATGTTGACAACACACTGATGTTTTCAGTAGGAGGCTACGTGTTGGCTTTATGTTAAGAAGTATATTGACAACATACTCATGTTTTTAGTTACTGCCAAGCAATGTTTACATTAAGCCAAGAACTTTTTCCAGTTCCTCATACTTCACCTGTGTTCCCAGCTTCTTCTCTACAAGAAGCTGGGAGGAGACAAGCCAGGACAGCTGACCTAAACTGACCAAAGGGATATTTCATGCCATAAAATGTCATGCTCAGTATATAAGTTGGGGAGAGTCAGCCAGGAGGGGCTGTCTCTCACTTCAGGGACTGTCTGGGTATCAGTCAGCAGGTGTATCACTTGGTTTTTCTCATTTAATGTTTTTCTTTTCATTACATATAATCAATATTGTTATTAGCAGTAGTATCATTATTTTATTTCATTTATTTTCAATTATTAAACTGTCATCTCAACCCATGAGTTTTCTTACCTCTTCTTCCAATTCCCTCCTCCATCCCACTGGGAAGTGGGGAGGTGAGTGAGCGGCTGTGTGGTGCTTAGTTGCTGACTGGGGTTAAACCATGACTGCAGCCAACACCTTGCACAGCTACCTCAGGCCAGTCAGAGAAATGATATTGCTTTCCCAACACCAATACACCCACTCCTGGCATAGGCTGTGTCAGGAAGCCTTTGACCCAAATGAGCCCTCAATCAAAACTAGGTGTCTGTGCACTGGACTCTCCAGTTCTCCAGGTTCCACAGACCAACAGCAGTGCCAGATGGGCACCAGTTGGGTAAGTGCACTGGGCTACATCTAAGCTAAGTACTGCTACCACTGGAACTCCAGAAAAGCCCAGTAAAGAGGCATCTATTCAGTCCTGCAGAGCCCATGCTTAGCTATACTCTTCACAACCTGGATTATCCCAGATCCTCAGATCCCCTAAAGAAGAGAGCACTGGCTACGCAACCAGGCTGGGAACCACAAAGGAAGTAAACGAAGGTGCATTGTGATGAAGGAAAAAAGCTTTGTGATTTCTTTTATGAGAGAGAATGATGTCCACTTTTGGAATGAAATGGGGATTACATTTGTAATTGCTGTCATGTTCCTCAGAAGGATGTTCTCCCCTCCACAACAAAAGATGCTGCTGTAATCTGCAGTAGCCCTGTAGCTGCTTCATGTGCAGCTGGGACCATCATTTCAGCCAAAGAGGAAGAGACAGCTGTACAGTTATCCCCAGCACATGTCCCTCTCAACTCACTTAGGCTTAAAATGCTCCGACCTCCATATACATACTGCACCCTGATTCAGCCGTACCTCCAGCTCCCCTGCAGTCACAGCACCTATTTACACTGTTCTGAACGTAGCAGCATGTATCATCCCTGTTCTCCTCTTCAGAGGGATGGACAGGCTAAGATAGATGGCTGACAGTAAAACAGGGATAGAGAAATAGAGACAGAGAGATAGAGAGAAATACAGAAATACAGAGAGAGAGAAGTAGAGAGAAATACAGAAATACACAAAGAGAGAAATAGAGAAATAAAGAGAGAGAGATAGAGATAAGAAACAGAGAATTACTCACTTGTATCACAGTACACATACATTTGAGTGTGGGAGGGTAAAACAAGGAGCTTTCTAGTTGAAAGGGCAAAGTTTCCACGCAGGGAAGTCCTCAGGCTTCTGCGACAGCTCACCTCAGAGTGGCTGCAGTGGATTTCTGTCTCCAGATGCCTTCCCCAGACCATCTCAGCTCCAGCAGCCCGGAGAGACTGACTGCTCCTGAAGAAGCAGCAGCTGAGCTGCCTCAGTTCACAGGACAACCTACGAATGTAAATTGCCACTCATTTTGGTTTTCCTTAACAAGTCAGGCTGCAATTTGTGGCAGCTCAAACCGTGTGGGGAAGCAGCTATTGACAAACAAGAGAAGCCAGAGAAAAGCAGACATAAAAGAAACTCGATGCAACCAGCTGGTGAACCAGACTGGGGAACCGATCCGGTCAAATACTCAGGTTTGGTCAGGTCACATAAGTTCTCTGATCCGGCTCATCCGCACTAACTCTGAGTATTCAACGGCCAACTTGAGCCACCTCTACAGGACTGAAGATGGACAAAAGATGGACTGCTGAATTAAGGAAAACCTGGCTATTAAAGGTGACTTTGGACTACATCATATGGCTATGACAGTCCCACACTTATTCATAGATAGAAATGGACACATGAAGACTAAAGAGAGAATCAGAAGTCCCATGAGTTATCTAAAAGCAAAAACAAAGGAGACAAAACTACCTATGTCCAATTAAACCTTAAAAGTAGGTTAAAATAAAAAGGGTGAAAAAATATTCCCCAAACCACCCTTGAGTAAAATTCCTCTCCTCAAGCCTCCCATTAAAATTGCAGCCTGCACTGACGTTCAATGCATTTAGGTGAAGAAAAGGGGAAAAAAAGACTGTAAGCCAAAGGAACCTCATGGCTTTTTGATGATACTAAAGAAGCTGCAGCTCAAGAGCCTCCTCCCCCCCCCCAAAAAACTGTTGCCTAATTTCTTAGGTGATGTGTGTTTATTCTTGGCCACACAGAGACAAAAGCAGTTCCTTCAACTTCACACATTTATATGCCACAGGAAAATGACATCTCTATGTTTTAGCTCCTTAACAGGATTCACGCTCAATCCTCATCAATACCCATGCCATTCAAAGGTCTAAAACCACACAGTATTAGCAAAGTAACTATTGCAAAGGAAGGCTAGCAGGACAAAGATGCATTTAAACAACCTGTAGAACAATCTGAATGCAAGCATCTTCTGCCAAAGCACTTCTCTCCCAGCTGGACTTTTTTTAACGCAACATGTAAAAGATTACTATCATTATCATCCTGTCACCACCTTGTTAAGGGACCTTAAAGATCATCTAGTTACAACCCCCTGTCACGGGCAGGGACACCTTCCACTAGACCAGGTTGCTCCAAGCCTCATCCAGCCTGGCCTTGGACACTCCCAGGGATGGGGCATCTACAGCTTCTCTGGGCAACCTGTCCCAGTGCCTCCCCACCCTCTCCATGAAGAACTTCTTCCTGAGATCTAATCTGCTTGCATTAGCTGGGTTCACCAGAGAAAGAGCCATACAGGAAAAACAGTGCAGAAATTAAGTATTTTAACAATGTCCAGTAGTAGCCATTAGGTCTTATACTGGCACATTATTTCTGCAGAAGACCAAAAAAAACAAAGGGGCTTTTTTTTTTTTTTCCCAAACATGCTTAATACTCTACATTTCTTACTGACCTCAACAAAGAACAAGCACTTTGAAAGCGTCTAAGACAACATCAATGTTTCTGGGACAGCTGATGGTTCAGGACTGGCTTTTTCCTTTCCAAATATAATCTTTTTTTTTTTCCCCTAGTGTCCACTACATTCACAATCCCAACCATTTTCATTTTACTATTATAACAACGTGCAAAGAAACTCAGTCCAGTATGACTTGTGCTATTTAACATCCCTTGCTTTGGAAGCCTGCCAAAAAGATACACAGTGAATAATAATGAAGAGCCTAACGCACATATTTGGGTTGAGTTTGGGTTGATTTTGTTGTTGGTGGTGGTGTTTTTAAACATAAATTGCACAGTTTTAAATAACCTCGGGCCACAGCCAACTGTAAGGAGTTAAAAATATCAAGACCAATATTTGGTATCTTGGGACATGTTAGATCAATCATGCTTTTAGGACTGAGGTCGGGCATCCCAGGAGTTTTGTTTCCCACCTGGATTGCAACAGATCAATAAAAGTGTAACACCATGAGGCTATTTAAAAAGAAAAAAAAACCCAAAACCATCAATTCCTAAAGAGCTAATTAAAAAAAAAAAGCCCACTGTGAGCAAAATTGACTGCTAAGCAGAATCAATAGTCTTAAAAAAGAAAAACCCAAAGAGCACTAGAGGAGCACTGGAGAAAAAAAGCATTGCTAGGGCAATTCCTTGGGTTATTTTATTCAGTTCTTCAGGGATACTTACGCATCTTCTCCCTTAATGGGTTTTAACCTTTAACTCCAGAATTTCAAGGCAAAAAGCAAGGGGGGCCGGTGGGAAGAAGAGATTAACACTTAATAATAATTTCACGACACTTCTGTCCCCAAACTGAATCACACCACATCACTGAACCAAAAACACCAGCAGGAAAATAACGCAGAGCAAAAGCCAAAGCTTCATTAGGAAGAAGATGCAAATGTGTACCCCGTTCTGACCACACCGCCACGAACAGCCCGTCCAGTGGCCACAGGTACCAGACTCAACCGAGTTCACAAAATTCAGCTGCCGCTCTCATCGTAAGCGGGGTAGCTGCAAGCTTCCACCAAGCTTCCTAGTCAGGAGGCAATTAAACACACGCAGCTCAACTGCAGTCAGCAAGTCACAGGTTTTAGCACATACTTAATTACCCCACTGACCCAAGGCTTCAGTGGTGCTTCAGTACTACCTTTTTTGCCTGCTCAACTCATTTTAAAATTCCAGGTGCAGGAGCAAAACCAGGATGAAGACCGTATTTCCCCTCGGTTTTAAAGCTGAAGGTCATTTCTTATTTACTGGCATTTCATGTCTTATCATTTTTGGAAAGATCAGAAATCAGGGCCAATGTCCCCAAAGGGAAGCCAATGGGCCATCTGAGTGGGAAGGTATCACGGATGTATTCAAAAGCAGCCAACGCTTTTTTCCCCCTTCCTGAAATGCAGTACGGTTGCCAAACCTTACATAAGCTGCTTACACAAAAGGGGCCAGTGGTACAGATGATGTAAATCAGCACATCTTCTCCAATTTCAACAACGCTCTTGAACTTACACACGCCTAGGGCACAAAACAGGAGTTTACAGGAAATTCCTATGAAGTTTAGATTCCTGCACATTTAAAACTTACTTGCCCCGTCCCACCTTTAAAGTTACAAAAACTCAAGTGTGAAATGAAACCGCATGAATTGTTTACAGAAGGGAAAACAATGGCTATCTTGCATAGCATTAAGCTGCAAATTACTTACTGGAATTACTACTTCTTGGGGTTGTTTTCCAAGCACTGAACTTTGAGACCTGGATGTTCTTGACAAAAAACATTACATCAAACCCAGCAGGTAGCCATCACAACCAATCACAGACGATGTATTCAAAGACATGTGTTTTCTGCAAACAGAACCCCCAAGTTTTTACACGACTTTCATTCTGACTGGTTTATTCTTTTAAAATATATACATTACATATATATATATCGCATCCTATTTGGCAACAAAGAGGAAAAACATAATTGCCTGTCAACTGATGGATGCTCAAGTGCTATTGCAATGAAGTGTGTGCAAGGAAAGCACATCCTTCCCTCCTCACCCATAAGGAGATGAGTAAGACACTCCAGGGGTTTCCCAAACTAAGCAAAGACCATTCAATACAGCTTCAACAGCCCGTTAAAAGTCAGGTTACATGGCACCATAGAGCTGAAGCATCCTGAACCTGAAGGATCCTCAGAGACAGGGACTCAAGAAGATTTCCAAAGACATTGAGCTAGAGAAGGAGGGCAGCAGTAAGGAGACACTTGCAACACTACTCCTGGGGTTAGGAAGAGAAGTTTCAACTTGGAATGCAATATTACTGCAAATACCTCTGATACGTTGAGAAAAAGGAACTGCACTGGTAGGATTTCTTGGAAGAAAAAAAAGGAGTTGCATGTGCTTTGTGTGTTATGTACTTCCTCCTCTAAAAGAATGTCCAGCTTATTCGTATGCAACAACTCTACAGAGAACAGAAGAACAACTATTAGAAGATAAAACGAGCCCTCATAACTACGCCTCATGGTCATTAAGTGAGGTGCCAGAGAGACAACACAATATAACTTTTTCTTCCCAGACATTTCTGAGGAGAGATGAAGGAATATTACATATAATAAGAAATGAATTCATATTGAATGCACTTCACAAGCAACAGCATGACACCACCACACCAGGTTGGTCAGGGAAGTCATAGGGAAAGGACCTCGTAAGATCGTGAGCTCTGCACCGAAAAGGCTGTTTTCTCACAGAATCACTGAATTCCTGAGGTTGGGAGGAATCTCTGGAGATTGACTCCTGCAACACCACCACTCAAAGCAGGGTGATCCCGACCAGGTTACACAAGCCCTCACCCAGTCAGGTTCTGAGTATCTCTACGGTTGGAGACTCCACAACCTCTCTGGGCAACCTCTTCCAGTGATTCATCACCCTCTCAGTAGAGTATTTTATGTCACTTCAGCAGAACTTTCTCCATTTCAGTTTTGTGCCTATTGCCTCTAGTCCTTTCACTGGATACCACTGAGAAAATCTGGCTCCACCACCTGTACTCATTCACATCACACATTGATAAAATCACCTCAGCCTTCTGTTTCGAGGGTAAACAATCACAACTCCATCAGCCCCTTCTATGGTGGATGCTCCAGTCCTTTAATTATCTCTGTGGCTCTTTGTTGGGCTCACACCAGCATGTCCACATCTCTCCTCTGCTGAGGAACCCTGAACAGTACTCCAGGGGTGGCCTCACCAGCCCTGAGTAGAGGCGAAGGGCACAGTGCTGGCTCACATTCGGTTCACTGACCCCAGGTCCTCCTCTTCTTTCAAAAAAATATGATTTATTTTAGGAAAGGGAAAAATAGTCCAAATCTCATTATATTCAACCCATTTTAAGACACTGCATCAATTCAAAAGTCAGGGGATCCTCCTACTACAAGGAGCAGAATGAACTGTTGCAGCCCCTCTTCATCAGCTCATGAGACACCTCCCTCTGCTGTGTACAGAAGACCCAGTCATGACTCTAACTCTGACTTTACTGCCTCTGCCTCAAGTTAAGCCTAGATTTCTTCCTCTCTCCCTACAGAATGTAGGATTAAAGCATGTCAGGGCAGTCCAAGAAATTACGACTACACACTGGACTGACTTACTGGAGGAGAGGGGTCCAGCAAACATAGTGAACAGAACAATTGTGCAAGTAAGGTGTTACGCACAGATCTCACAACTGTCCTTAAACGCTCAGCTCAAGCCAATGCATTTCATCTACTTCAGCGTGCTGATGCAGTTTAACCCACCATTTGGGAAAAACAGCACACTCAAACAACAGCCAATAATTCGTCAGGGCATGCAAGCTAAGCACGCTCATTTGCACGCTTATATTTTAAGCACAATTTAACAAATGAAACTCTCTTTTAAGTACACATGCAACAAGTTATGTGGAAAGGTTCTTACTTCAGCTTATAGTATTGCTTAATTTTAACCTAAAAATTAGAAACGTGTTTTGAGTTAAACCAAAGCCAACCATTTATGACCAACTGGCGCTAGCCCAGCCAGACCAACACGCCGTATATGCCGTGGTTTCCATACTGCCTCTGTGCAGCTACAAACTGCACCCATCAGGTACTCTCATCAAAGAGAACCCTAGCTTCCTCCATCTCTTCAGTCCCAGAGACAAAGCTACAAGACCAAAGCTACGTTCCAATATTTAAGCTACGTTAAAGAAAACACTCAAAAGGCAAGGAATTGCATCCCCTTACGAGATGTCAACCTGGCATTGGTATTTCATGGTAAGCACCATTCCACTTCTCTGATCTACCTCATGATAAAATACTCATATTCCCACTTTAAATTGTACTACTGAACTCTAGTCTTCAGCATAAATCAATTTGTTATGGATCACCTGCTTTCAGGATACACACAGGAATGGAAAGAATTCCTTTCACCTAGATGCATCCGTAGTGAAGTCAGTTTTATTGACTGAACTCCTCACATTCATCTGGGAAGCTTTAAGCAGGAACCACTGCAAAAACCACCTGACAAAGCTCCAGTCTGTGGCACAGCAGTTGCTGACACGGCAATCTTGACCTCTGTTGCTTACTTTACATTTTCACTTCTCACACGCCTGAAGAAGATGGTTTCTCAAGAGACTGTCCATCCTCCTGTACTTTACATGTGTGGTTTATCTTAAGGCCTTGTATTAAATCAGCATCTTTTCACAAACAGACCAGACTCAGTGAAAATGTCAACTGACATCAGATTCTCTTACGGATGAGAAACCTACTCACACACACCACACAGAAGAGGAAGACGAAGTGATCCCTGAGAAGGAGATGTGAAAGCGGCAGCAGATCAGTGGCAAACCACTTCACTTATGTGGATTTCTGCACAGCAGAGAAGTGCACTTCACTTCTCTTTTCCCCTTACCCTGGGAGTCCATCTAGCACAGCAGACCTTCAGTCATCACTGAAATGAACAGGGGGCCAAACTGCCCAACATCAATACCATCTGTGCTCAGGGACAGCAAACAGCACATGTGGAATGGTGGGGAGTACTGAAGGGGGAGGAAGGGAGGAACCATTCAGAGATATATTTTCAAGAACCTTACAAGTGGCACATCCAGCCTACTCCCCTATTTCTTCCTAACCTGGTCACCACAGTACTGAGAGTCCCCGGTTTCACCGGGATTCTTTTACTTGCTGGCACAAACATCATTATTCAACATCACCACTTAAAAAATATCCTGATTTTGTTTAGCAGAGCATAGCAAATGAGCATTTCTGTTTCAACTCATGCAGATTTACAGACCTTGCTGACTAGATACATTAAAAGGCATCACGTATCAAATGAAAGTTAACTCACCAGACAAGATAACGGGAAAATAACAATAGAAAGGCTTGGAAAACTAATTACTTTTCAGAAGTGCAATGGAATAAGTTAGGCTTGTTGAATATTTGGCTTGGCACCTAAGAACAGCTGTATTTTTATTTTTGGGTCTATGTCTGGGCTGCCATTTCTTGTCACAAAATATTTAAGCTCAAACGTATGTTCAGCTACAGATCCTGAGGAAAAATATCTTGGGAAAATGTAAACTGAAACAAAAGGCTAAGTTTCTTTTTCAGAACTAAAAACTCAACATAAATCACCACTGTATCTATTTAAGCATTTAAGTCAAATTAATATTTACCCATGAGCAGGATCCAAAGCTATTGCTCTGGGCTGATCAAGGTCTTGCCAGAAGAGGACTTTTCTAGATGTTCCATTGAGATTAGCTACTTCTATCCTATTGGTTTCTGAATCCGTCCAGTAAAGCTTTTTCCCAATCCAATCACATGCCAGGCCATCCGGGGAAACCAGACCAGAAATGATGACATTCTGCACCACATTCCCAGTTTGGTTAATGTAAGTTTGCTTGATGGCTTCTTCACTCACATCTGTCCAGAAAACGATGCCTTGCGAATACTGGAAGTCAACCGCAGCAGCATCCTCTAAACCACTGACCACCACAGTGGACTCCAGCTTCGTGCCTCCAGCATCCACGAGTCGAACGTCCCGCCGGTTGGCAAAAAGCAGAAAGGGAGATGCTACAGAAGAAAAAAACAAAAAGAGGTTAGTATTATTGGCATCTACAGATGTTAAAACACTGAGTATGAATATGGCAGAGGAGGATTTCTTTTCCCAGATCAGCAGGGCAGGCAGTACAGCAGAAGGGACATGGAAGTTTCACATGAGAGAAAAACGCACACTACCCAACAAACTCTTCCTTCCACATGTCAGACAAAGGAGTAAAAGGCATAGTGAAGAGCAGGCCCTCTGCCTGCTGTCAAAATGACAGCCGTCGAGATACTGCAGCAGTACCTGCACCAGCTCTAGATCTCCTGCGTGCAAGGTTCAGTTGGACAACGACATGACCTCGGTGGATGATGCTGGCATTCACATGCAGAAAGGAAGAAGGTAGGGAGAAAGACTCATGAGAGGTAAGGAAATAACTTCATGGGGTTGGATCTGACAGTAAGACATACAGAGACAGTACTCACTGGAACCCCCAATATAAGAAGGATATAGACCAGTTGGAGCAAGTCCAGAGGAGGCCACGAAGATGATCAGAGGGCTGGAGCCCCTCTGCTGTGATGAAAGGCTGAGAGAGTTGGGCTTGTTCAGCCTGGAGAAGAGAAGGCTCCAGGGAAACCTTATAGCACCTTCCAGTACCGGAAGGGGCTACAAGGAAGCTGGGGGGGACTTTTTACAAGAGCCTGTAGTGATAGGACAAGGGGTAATGGGGTTAAATTGAAAGTGGGGAGGTTTAGATTAGATATCAGGAAGAAGTTCTTCCCAGAGAGGGTGGGGAGGCACTAGAACGGGTTGCCCACAGATGTTGTGGATGCCTGGAAGTGTCCAAGGCCAGGCTGGATGAGGCTTGGAGCAACCTGGTCTAGTGGAAGGGGTCCCTGCCCATGGCAGGGGGGGTGGAACTAGATGGTCTTTAAGGGCCCTTCCAACCCCAACCATTCTGTGATTCTGTGATAACATTAGCAGAGATTTTAACATAGACAAGATGGCTTTTCTGTCACACCAGATCTCATCTGACATTGTACTCAAATCTGTGCTTGCAACTGACCTGTGTCTCCACACACTGAGAGGGAGAGAAAGGCGTGAAGGTGAGAGTCCTACAACTCCTCCTTCCTCTTCCCACACAGAATATTACAAAACTCTAGCAGAGGGAGATTGTAAAGATCCTCTGAAGGACCCACTATGGGGAGAGAAGCATGATTCAAACAAAGGCAAAGGCATGATTTGGCCCAACTACTTCTTCCAGAAGAGGACATTAAGCAGACATCGTGCAGAGCAGTCCTTCCCAACCATACCAGCCAGACTGATAGCCAAGTTAACCGCTTCTTTTCTCTCCTAAAAGTGCACGTTTGCTTCTTCATCCAGCAATAAACAAGAAAATAGTTATTTGTAGACAGGCCTGGGGAGGCAGCAGCCAAGGACAATGATGCCATCATTACCAGACACAGCTGGGAACC